GTATGAACACATGAGTGCAGGTAGTCATAGAGGCCAGAAGAGGACGTCAGATCCCCTGGAACTATAGATACAGGCAGTTGTGAGCTGCGTCGTGTGGGTACTGGGATGTGAACTTAAGTCCTTTGCAATAACAGCTCTCTCCAGCCCTAACATTTTCAATGTTGACTTGTCATTTCAGCCCTTTATGCCTAAGTTTTATCCTAGTCATGTATTTTACTTGTAGCCTTAATACAGAGTTTTACTTTAAATAATCCATTATACTAGATTGTGTGACAGTTTTTCGTATGACATCTCAGTGGGATTAATTATATAGCTGGCATACAAAACACTGTGGGGGTTTTCCCTTTCAGTGATGATCAGATTTTGCCAGTCCCTTCTCTGTGAGTACTATGCTCATAGTTCTCTAGTCTGGGTACAAAATAAATCTTTCTGTGTAGAAAAATTCTACCAGGGAACTCCTACAGCTGATAAATACCTTCAGTAATGTGGCAGGATCAACTTTAAAAAATCAGTAACTTTCCTATATACAATTGATAAGAATGCTGAGAAAGAAATCAGAGAAGCCACAAATAACAAAAAATATCTTGGGGTAATGCTAACCAAAGAAGTGAAAGATTTCCCATGCTCTTGGATAGGCAGGATGAACATGATAAAAACGGCAATCTTACCAAAAGCAATCTACAGATTCAATGCAATCCCTATCAGAATCATAACACAATTCTTCACTGACCTTGAAATAACAGTATTCAACTTCATATGGAAAAACAACTCAGGATAGCCAAAACAATCCTGTGCAATACAGGAACTTCTGGAGGCATCATCATTTCTGACTTCAAGCTCTACTCTAGAGCTGTGGTAACGAAAACAGCTTGGTATTAGCATTAAAACAGAAAAGTGCGCCAATGGAATCGAATCGAAGACCTGATATTAATTCACACACCTGTGAACACCTGAGTTTTGATAAAGAAGCTAAAATTATACAATCGAAAAAAAGAAAGCATGTTCAACAAATAGTGCTGTCATAACTGGATGTCAGCATTTAAAAGAATGAAAATAGATCCATATCTATCCCATGCACAAAACTCCAAATGGATCAAAGACTTCAATATAAATCCAGCCACACTAAAATTCATGGAAGAGAAAGTAGGAAGTAGCCTTGAACACACTTCCTATATATGACACCAGTAACACAGACACTGAGAGCAACAGTTAATAAATGAGACCTCCTGAAACTGAGAAGCTTATGTAAAGCAAAGCACACAGTCAATAAGACAAAAAGGCAGCCTACTGAATGGGAAAGATCTTCACCAACCCCACATCAGACAGAGGTGTGATCTCCAAAACATATAAAGAAATCAAGAAATTAGACATCATAATATCAAATAATCCAATTTAAAAATAGAATACAGATCTAAACAAAAAATTCTCAGCAGGTGAATTGCAAATGGCCAAAAGACACTTAAGGAATTGCTCAACATCCTTAGCCACCAGGGAAATGAAAATCAAAATGACTCTGAGATACCATTTTACACCAGTCAGAATGGCTAAGATCAAAGACACAGTGATAATTTATGCTGGAGAGAATGTAGAATAAAGGGAATATCCCTCCATTGCTGGTGGGAGTGCAAACTCATACAGCCACTTTGGAAATCAGCATGGCGGTTTCTCAGAAAGTTGGGAGTCAACCTACCTCAAGAGCCAGCGATACCACTCTTGGGCATATTCTCAAAGGATGCACACTCATACCACAAGGACATTTGCTCAACCATGTTCATAGCATTATCTTATTAGCCAGAACCTGGAAACTACCTGGATGCCCACTCAACCAAAGAATGGATAAAGAAAATGTGGCACATTTACACAGTCGAGTACTACTCAGTGGTAAAAAACAATGATATCTTGAAATTTGCAGGCAAACGGATGGCACTAGGGGAAAAAAACACATCCTGAATGAAGTAACCCAGACCCAGAAAGACAGACATGGTATGTACTTACACATAAGTGGATATTGGATGTAAAGCGAAGGATAGCAAGCCTACAGTCCACGACCCCAGAGAAGCTAGGTAACGAAGAACCCTAAAAGAGACATACATGGATCTCCCTAGGAAGGGAAAATAGACAGGATCTCTTGAGTGAATTGGGAGTGTGGTGGTAGAGGAAGAGGACATGAGGGAATGGGATGGTCCAGGTGGGAGAAGGAAGAGAGCGAGAGCAAGGAAAGAGATATCTTGATTGTGGGAGCCATTTTGGGTCTAGTGTAAAACCTGGCACCAGGGAAATTCTCAGGAATCTACAAGGATGACCCCAGCTAAAAACCTAAACAATAGTGAAGAGAGGTTGCCTGAACTGGCCTTGCCCTATAACTGTCATCAGATAACCTTCATCCAGCAACTGATGGAAGCAGTTAACACTGGGCTGAGCTTCTGGAGACCAGTCAAAGAGAGGGAGGAGCAATAATGTGAGCAAAGGGGTCAAGACCATGGTGGGGACACTTACAAAAACAGCTAACTTGAGCTAGTGGGAGCTCACTGACTCAGGCCTGACAGCGGGGGAACCAGCATAGGACCAAACTAGGCCCTTTGAATGTGGATGACAGTTTTGTGTGTCTGGGGCAGACTGTGGGGACAACTGGCAGTGGGACTAGGGTTTATCCCTAGTGCTTGAACTGACTTTTTGGAGCCCATTCTTTTTGAAGGACTTCCTTGCTCAGCCTAGATATAGGGAGGAGGGCTTGGTCCTACCTCAAAGTGATATGTCAGACTTTGTTGACTCTCCATGGGAAGCCTCACCCTCTCTGAAGAGTGGATGGAGGGAGGGAGGTGAGAGGGGTGGGGGAGGGGATCGAGTGGGAACTGGGATAGGTATGTAAAATGAGAAAAGATTGTTTTAAAAAAATAAGTAAACGAAAGAAAGAAAGAAGGAAAGAAAGAAAGACCAAAGAACAGGGGCCTGGAAAAATAGCTTAGCAGTAAGGGGCACTGACTGCTGTCCCAGAGGATCCAGATTCAATTCCCAGCACCCACATGGCAGCTCACAACTGTCTGTAACACCAGTTCCAGAGGACACCCTCATACAGACAAATGTGTACAGAAATACAAATAAATAAATAAAATATTTAAAAAAGAGAAAAAACAACAACCAATGAGCTACATCCTGTTGTATCCAGGATTTATTCTCTATTACCCTCCTGTTCTGGTGTCTTTAAAGCTCACCTTCAATACCTTCTCTGGCTGGCTGTTTGAAGCTGCCTACACCTCCCTACCAGAATGACAGTGAATCTACCAAGAGAAATGATGCTTATAAGTGTCTGTCTGTCTGTCTGTCTGTCTGTCTCTCTCTCTCTCTCTCTCTCTCTGTGTCTGTGTCTGTGTGTGTCATGAGCATGCCTCATGTCCAAGGAAGCCAAAAGAGGATATCAGGTCCCCCTGGAACTAGAGTTACAGACTGTTGGGAGCTGCCATATGGGTTCTGAAAACTGAACCTGAACTTGAGTCCTCTGCAAAAACAACAAATATTCTAAACTATTGTGCCATCTTTCCAGCCCAAAATTATTTTTTTAATAATACATAAGCATGTGTGTACATGTGTATGAAGCTCTGGGACAACCTCAGTTGTCACTTTGACAATGCTATCCACCTCCTTTAGGACAGTCTCTTGTTGACCTGGTGTTGAACAGTTATGCTCTACTGACTGGTTATCAAGCTCCAGAGACCCTCCTGTCTGCTCTTGCCTAGTGCTGGCCTCACATGCACACACCACGCCGAGCAGTTTTGTTTTGTTTTTGTTTTTTTGTTTTACATATGTTTTTGAGAATTAAACTCAGGTACTTGGGCTTCCAAAACTAGTGTTTACCTACCAAGCTATCCCCCAGCACCAGGAAATTATTCTTGGGGTCCCCCCCTCTTCAAGACAGGGTCTCACTAAGAAGCCTTAGCTACCTGGAATTCACTCTGTAGACTAGGCTGGCTTCAAACTCACAGACATCCACCTGCCTCTGGCTCCCAAGTGCTGGGTTAAAGTCCTGCACCACCACGCCTGATTCCTCTCACTCCCGAGTGCTGGGTTAAAGTCCTGCACTGCCACCACCACCCGGCTCAGATGGAATGTCTGTGGTCACTGTAGTAGTGAAAGCACCCAGGGCAGCAAGAAGCTCACAGTCTCATTGAGAGGAAGTCATCAGGCCTAGAACACACATGTCACACAGTAATCCTAAAAGCCATCTACATTTCATGGGTTAGTGCATAAAGTATGTAGACATGTTCTGCCCAGGCTGAGTGAGAAACTAGATTCCTTGAAGGACAGAGATGGCAGCTATAGGATATGGAGTTTGGACAAAAATTGAAATAATGGTAGGTCTAGAGACAGATGGCTCACTGATGTTAAATATTTCAGAGAGCTGGAAAGAGAGCTCAGCAGTTAAGAAACTGACTCTTCCTTCCAGAGGACCTTAGTTTGAGGTGCTTCACAACTGTCTGTAACTTCAGTTCTGAGCGATCTCGTGTCCTCTTCTGGCTCCTGTGAGCACTGCATACATGTGGACAAATCTCCTAAAAATTTAAAAAAATACACTGAAGTTCTGGTATGCCGAAACAGGGTTTCTCTGTGTAGCTTTGGAGCCTGTCCTGGAACTCACTCTGTAGACCAAACAGGCCTCGAACTCACAGAGTGCCTCTGCTTTCTGAGTGCTGGGATTAAAGGTGCGTCACCACCGCCCAGCCTTGGTACTTTTTATACTCTCTTGAGTAGAATGGATTCTGTTCTGGCCACGTATTTGAGTATTTCTTTGTTGCTCTGTTACTTTCCAGTTAAGGTCTTAAAAATCCTTAAGCTGTGAAAACTACATAAATGGATTCTAAAATGCCTGAGCTCTTCTTTTAAGCCTAGAATAGGTGATGTTGGCTCATTGTGTAAGACTCAGTTTGTACAGTAAATTGTGAAGGGGGAGGGCATGTGGCCTGTATAAAGTAAGTGGTCAGTGTGTCTTTTTTTCTCTCTTTCAGGTATCCAGACAATTGACTCCACCCAAGCTCTGTTCCTGCCCATTGGAGCATCCGTCTCTCTCCTAGTAATGTTCTTCTTCTTTGACTCAGTTCAAGTAGTTTTCACAATATGTACAGCAGGTAAATTAGCTTCAAGTATACTAAAAGGAAAAAATTATATTTTAATGATTGTTCAAATATTATGATGTAAATATTATCTACTGTGCCATGAAAGTCAAATCTTCTTCATTCTGTTAACACAGTCTGGAAGAAAGGTGGGCATTGGAAAAGTGAAGAACTTCAATGACAGCAAATGTCTGTGGCGTCTTTCTGTCAGGCAGCCCAAAGCCCCCCTTCAGCATAGTGGCCAGTGCATCCTCCAGCACTGAGCCTACAGCCAGCCAAAGTCATTAGCTTTCCAGTGTGCTTTCAAGCTAAACCATGGTGGAAGTACAGGAAAAATTAACAAAAGTTAGTTGACTTTAGCAGTTCATCTCTGCCTGCTGCTTATTCTTTCCTGCTGAGTTAAGAGAATAAGAAAAATCTTTCCATAACTTTCCCAATTGTCAAGAAAGATGTGTTGGAAATCTGTTTTACATAAGTTATGCCATTTTTCTTGTAATTAGTAAAGAAAAGGGTTTTTAATGAACCATTTTCTTTTCCTAGTTCTTGCAACAATAGCTTTTGCTTTTCTTCTTCTCCCGATGTGCCAGTATTTAACAAGACCCTGTTCACCTCAGAACAAGTAAGTTCTTCGCGCTTTCCTCTAAATTAAGAGTGATGGGGATTGGCTGGAATACACAAACAGCCAGGGATGGGGAATGGAGATGTTTGGCCGCACTTGTTAAAACTAGGAGATAATGTCCCCATTGCACCTTTTCATGGCAGAGAAAGTACAGACAAATCTTCCGAAGTGGGAACTGATGTAATCTGCTTTCTGCTTAGCTAGATTAGGAAGGACAGGCAGTGAGAATAATGATTGAACTCAGAACTCCTTATTATTCTGCTGTCTTGTCAGTGCATTGTCTGCACCTTCCCTCCAGAAGCCATTGCTCCATGAAAACCATGCAGCATGCTGGTGGAAGTGGTGTTGAAACTAATCAATTGTGGCAGCTGGTTTTCCAGAAATTAGTGTTGACCATGTAGATTTTCCTCCCATCTTACAAATGTTATTTCATCATTGCTAAATGAATGGAATCTGTTCCTTCTCTTCATTTTATTTTCCCTTAAGAGAAGGGTTTCCCTAAGTTCAGTTCTCCTAGAGACTGAAACCCATGTCAATAATTCAGTATAAAAACACTGTCAGACCAGTGCAGTGGTTCAGTGGTGAAAGTGCTCATTGAGCTCTCCTGATGGCTTGAGCTTGATCCTTAGAATCCTCAGTGGAAGGACAGACAGACTCCATGAAGTTGTCACCCGGCCTCTACATGTACCCCGCCCACACACACCCACACCCGATAATAGTAATAAATAGAAAGAAATTTTAAAAATGAAATGCTTTGCCAAATAGGAGCTAAAGATGACCCCAACGAGGCTTGGGTCTTTTAGTTTCCCAGATAATTAGGTGTTTCCTACAGCTCTGATTTGGTTATTGACTGCAACACGCCCCTAAGTCCTATAAATGTGTCTTCCAGGATTTCCTTTGGTTGCTGTGGGCGTTTCACTGCTGCTGAGTTACTGTCATTCTCTCTGTCTGTCATGCTTGTCCTCATCTGGGTTCTCACTGGCCACTGGCTGCTTATGGATGGTGAGTAACGTGACAGGTTGTAATTGTAGCTAGCATGCTTTCATAGTTGGTCATGGCTTCAACTGTGGGCCGGGAACCCATGTGAATGTGTGAATTGCAATAAAAAACAAACAAACAAAGAGAACGTCACCAGTAGGTTACTGGCCATGCTGTGACTAGAGGACACATAATGAATCCACAGTGTTCTCACAGTGTCACCCATGTTGGAGCATCATGTCCTTTCACCAATCTTAGTCCGGAAAGCACAACACCCTCTGCCTAAAACACTTCTGCTCCTAATGACACCTATTATATGTTATATAATTGAAGTGTTTTTGCTTCAATACAAAGTCTCGTCTCATAGAAACACAGTGGTATAATAGAAAACGGAAACATTTAGTATTTTCCTACTGTCATTTCTCAGCATGTAAATACTGAATAAGCATAGCTTTGGAGTGGGTTTTATTAGAATATTGAATTTTACAATTGCTGTTTGAGCCAGACATGGTGGCACATGCTGCTTCTTCTTCTTCTTCTTCTTCTTCTTCTTCTTCTTCTTCTTTTTCTTTTTCTTCTTCTTCTTTTTTTTTTTTTTTTTTTTTTTTTTTTGGTATGTATGCATTTTCCAAATGTATCCCAGCTGTTTTAGAACTCCTTTTGTAGACCAGGTGGCATGCGCTTTTAATTCCAGCACTCAGGATCTCTAGAGCTTAAGTGAGACCCTCTCAAAATCTAATAAATCAATAGAATTGGTATTTTGAGTTGCTGACCTAATTTTCATTTTTAAAAAATAATCTAGTAAATTTTGGCTTGGAATTAGGACAGAATTTCCAACAGTTTCTAAAATGGTGCTAAGGATACTTCTAGTGTTTTGTATTACATATTTATACAGAGCAACATTCTTGCATTGACACTGACCAAGATAGCAATCAACTTTAGGAAATAGTGAAGATGTCTTTGTAGACAGTGTCATTCAGCCAAGATTTATTTATGTAAAAGTTGTCATGCACAATTTTCATTAGTATGCAGATTTTCTTTTGTTTCTAATGATAAAATTATATGTAAACCAAAGATTTTCTGTACGTTTATAATTTATTACCAGTGAATGTTTACTTTGTATACCAGTTTTATATGCCTACTATCCAGGGTCATATAAACATTTATTGAGCAAACCACATAAAGACAATACTAAGAAAGAGAATTACAGACCAGTCTCACTCATGAACATTGATGCAAAAATACTAAATAAAATAATGGCAAATAGAATCCAAGAACACATCAGAACCATCACCCACTATGATCAAGTCGGCTTCATTCCAGAGATGCAGGGATGGTTCAACATGTGAAAATCTGTCAACGTAATCCACCCTATAAACAAACTGAAAAATAAAAACCACATGATCATCCCATTAGGTACTAAAAAAGCTTTCAACAAAATACAACATCCCTTCATGATAAAGGTCTTGGAGAGAGCAGGGATACAAGGAACATACCTAAACATAATAAAGGCAATATACAGCAAGCCAACAGCCAACATCAAACTAAATGGAGAGAAATTCACAGCGATCCCACTGAAGTCAGGAACAAGACAAGGTTGTCCACTCTGTCCATATCTATTCAGTATAGTTCTTAAGGTCCTAACTAGAGCAATAAGACAACAGAAGGTGATCAAGGGGTTACAAATTGAAAAAGAAGAAGTCAAACTCTTAACTATTTGCTGATGATATGATAGTCTACATCAACAACCCCAAAAATTCTACCAAGGAACTTCTACAACTCATAAACACTTTCAGTAATGTAGCAGGACACAAGATTAACTCAAAAAAATCAGTAGTCCTTCTGTAGACAGATTATAAAAGGAATCAGAGAAACATCACCCTTCACCATAGCCACAAATAGCATAAAATATCTCGGAGTAACACTAACCAAACAAGTGGAAGACTTGTATGACAAGAACTTTAAATCTTTGAAGAAGGAAATTGAAGAAGAAACCAAAAAGTGGAAAGATCTCCCATGTTCTTGGGTAGGTAGAATTAACATAGTAAAAATGGCAATCTTACTAAAAGCAATCTACACATTCAGTGCAGTGCCCATCAAAATCCCAGCAAAATTCTTCACAGACCTCGAAAGAACAGTACTCAGCTTCATATGGAAAAGCAAAAAAAACCAGGATAGCCAAAACAATCCTGTACAATAAAAGAATTTCTGGAGGCATCACAATCCCTGACTTCAAACTCTACTACAGAGTACTGAAAACAGCCTCGTTTGACATAAAAACAGACAGGAGAACCAATGGAACTGAGTAGAAGACCCGGATATCAATCCACACACCTTCGAACACCTGATTTTTGACAAAGAAGCAAAAAATATCAAATGAATAAAAGAAAGCATATTTAACAAATGGTGCTGGCATAACGATATCAGCATGTAGAAGATTCAAAATAGACCCATATCTATCACCATGCTTAAAACTCAAGTCCAAATGGATCAAAGACCTCAACATATAACCAGCCACACTGAACCTTATGGAAGAGAAAGTGGGAAGTACACTTGAACGCATTAGCACAGGAGACCACTTCCTAAATAGAACCCCAGTAGCACAGATACTGAAAGAAGCACTTAATAAATGGGACCTCCTAAAACTGAAAAGCTTCTGTAAAGCAAAGGACATGGTCAACAAGACAAAATGGCAGTCTACAGAATGGGAAAAGATCTTCACCAACCCCACATCAGACAGAGGTCTGATCTCCACAGTATACAAAGAACTCAAGAATTGTTCATCAAAAGAACAAATAATCCAATGGGAAAAAAAAATGGAATAATGACCTAAACAGAGAACTCTCAACAGAGGAATCTAAAATTACTAAAAGACACTTAAAGAAATATTAACATACATAGATCTAATCTCCATGGGAAGTAGAAAAAGACAAGATCTCCTGAGTAAATTGGGAACATGGGGGTCCTTGGGAGAGGGTTGTTGGGGGGTAGGGAGGGAAGCAGAGAAAAATGTAGAACTCAATAAAAATCAACAAAAAAAATTATTAAGCAGAAGGAAGCTGCCAATAAAGAAGATGTAAGCCTGCTTTAGAAATTCATCGCAGACACACAGTTCTAGAACACTCATGACCCTGATTCCTCAGCTATACCCACTGACGTCTGCCAGTCAGCTTTCCCAGGCTGCCTCTTACCTCTTCAGTTTGCAGAATGTTGTCAAGGTCACCAGTCTTAGCCTTGCTCTCTAGTTCTTCCTTTTGAGAACCTTTTGTTCAGAGACCCTGAGTTCAGTTTTCAGCACGCACATGGGGTGTCTCACACAGCCTGTAATAACAGCTCCAGAGGATCCCATCCGTTTTGGTTCTGCAGGCATCTGCACCCCTGTAGTATACATTCACACATTAAAAGTTAAAATATTTTTAAAAGCTATGTTCTATCCAGATGATGGTCACTGTGTGCCTTTAATCCCAGCACTCAGGAGGATCTCTGAGTTAGTGATAGCCTGGTCTACATAGAAGGTTCCAGAATAGCCAGGGCTACATAGGAAAACCCTGTCCCCCAAAGAAGAATAATTTTTTGGTAGACATGAGATATTTATTAAAGACAGTGCATTTCAGTGCTCACAGGGCAAGGAGTGCTGTGATCTGAAGGTACTTCCAAGAGGGAGGCTTACTTATTGCACTCTGCTCTCCACTGTTAAAACAAAAACATGCATACTAATGAAATGGGTGTGCTTATTTACCTCTACCCAAAAAATTGTGTGTGTGTGCACGCTGACTTTCACTGTAGACTATCCCTGGTGTCTTCCAGAGATGATCAGCACATTGAGTTTATTATCGCCAGGGCCAGCAGTGCCATTTCCCAGAAACACAGTGCAAAATGGCAGAGGGTGTTCAGGGTCAGATCAGAAACTGTTGGAGATTGTGTTCTTATCCCAAGTCAGAATTCTTTTTTGTTGTTTTTGTTTTTTGAGACAGCGTTTCTCTGTAACTTTGGAACTTGTCCTAGAACTAGCTCTTGTAGACCAAGCTGGCCTCAAACTCACAGAGATCTGCTTGCCTCTGTCTCCCGAGTACAGAATTTATTTAATAGTCATTTATGAAGCCTAAGGCAGCTAACATGTTACAATCCAAAACCTAGTTTCTTCATTTCTGTAATTTAACCATTGTTCTGTAAGAGTAGAAAGAAAACTTAATGTGCATAAAAATGCTGGGATCTGCTGTGTGCAGCCATTTGGGTTCCAGGCAACACCACGTGTCCTGTCACGTGAGCAGTCACATAACCGTAAGGTGGTGTAGTGGCACATGGGGGAACGCTGTTGGATGATCTCCCAATTGTCGTGTTTAGGTTTTCTAATTAATTTTTGACTTGTGTATTTACAAACCTTCACTTTTACTAATTTTTTTGCTAAACACAGTTTAAGAAACTGGCTTTAAAGGACTTTTGTATAAATTAGATCAGAGAAATGAAAGGAAGGCAGCTAGAGAGAGGGATGCTGGCAAATATTATGTTGTTCAAGACTAAAATGTTGCAAATATTACATTGATGGATTGATGGAGGAAATGCAATAGAGAAGAGTGAATTGCTTTAATGGTGTTTCTGAATGAAGTAAGGGGGCGTGACTCAGGGAATAAGTTGACTCCCCTCTTTTGGAAAAAGGGTCTCACTCTGTAGACCAGGTTGACCTTAAACTCAACTCTCAGAGATCTGCCTGCCTCTGCCTCCTGAGTGCTGGGATTAAAGATGTGTGCCACTCTTGTTCTTAGCAAGAATAATATACTCTACCCACAGGGTGAGAGTGGGAATGTATCCCCTGGGTCTCCAGACAGCTCAGCTCTGTGTAGTAGCATAAAGAGAGCTGTCACCTACTGGAAATCCCAGCAGATCCAGGTGGGCTGCTGCAGTAGGAACCGTTGTCTGAAATGAGAGTTCAGAGCACTACTACAGACTAGAGGGCTGGGTAGTCACAGACTTGTGCAGAGAGACCTACCATCCACACACTGACTAATCCCCATGCTCACCCCACCCCCAGCTCTGGCCATGGGTCTCTGTGTTGCCATGATCGCCTTCGTCCGCCTGCCAAGCCTCAAGGTCTCCTGCCTGCTTCTCTCAGGGCTTCTCATCTACGATGTCTTCTGGGTGAGTGTCTGCTTCAGTACAAGCCCTGTGCTCCTTTGAGTTTAACTGAAGCAGTTGCTGCTAAAAGCTGTCTGCTGCTAAATACGCAAGGCCTGGCGTGCTGATCATCCCAGGTGAGTCCTGCTACTCTGGAACTGCAGGTGCTGACCTTGTACAAGCTTCATCTGTCCCTTTGTTGGTGGCCTCTGTGATACAGTGGGTAGTATGTGTGACTGGTGCAACAGGCTGTTGAGAATTCTTGCGTAGGAGAATTTCCACTGGAAAGGCCTAGCGACCTGCAGGCCAGCCAGTACAGGAAGTAAAGATTCTTCAGTCAGAGCCTTCTGGTTCTGAGCTGTGGGGACAACTGACTAACGTGGGTGGCGTGCAGCTTCTGTTACAGTTGTGTGTTCATTTTGGCAGGTATTTTTCTCAGCCTACATCTTCAACAGCAATGTCATGGTGAAAGTGGCCACACAGCCTGCTGACAATCCCCTTGATGTCCTATCCCGGAAACTCCATCTGGGTCCCAATGTTGGGCGTGATGTTCCTCGCCTGTCTTTGCCTGGAAAATTGGTCTTCCCAAGGTAGGACTGGCCTCTGGGTCCCCATCCTGCAATGAACATCCTGCCTTCTTGTGTGTCTTCCCCACCACGGGCATCCGTCTGTTTTCTGTAATCCCAATAACAAAATACCACAGAGATACCCACCCAAGAGAGGACAGAGCTATCTTGCTCATGATCTGAAAGGATACTGTCCATCCTGGCAGGGGAGGTGCATGTGTGGCTGTGGCTTCGTCTCTGATGGTAGAAGCTTGGGCCATAACTTGTTCTCTCCAAGGATCAGGAAGCAAAGAGTCCCTCAGTATGCCACCCCGATTGCCCCCAGAGGTACTCCTTCCTCCTCCTAGGTCTTGCTTCCTAATGGTTTTTACAAACTTGGAAAGCAGAACCACCAGCTGGGGGCCAAGTATCAAAACACAAGCCTTTGGGGTATTTTGTATTCAAACCAGGACACAGGTTCTATAGTTTTCTTGCTTATTCACTTCTAGTTCTATTCCTGTATGCTCTGATAAGATTCATAAAATTACCTCAGGTTTAAGACTTGCTTTATTACCTAAAATGTGATGTGTTGACTTTTTTTTTTTTTAAAGTTTGATAGGCTACCATGAAGAATGTGTACTCCACAGCAATTGAAATAGTCTGTAGACATCTAGGGTTTTTTTTTTAATCAAAATCACCTGCATTTAGATTAGTGGTTATTAATTTGTGGGTCACGACTCCTTGGGGTTGAACAGAGGACCTTTCACAGAGGTCGCAGATTAGATATTTACATTATAATTCATGACAGCAAAATTACAGTTATGGAGTAGCAACAAAAATAATTTTATGCTTGGGGCTGCTACAACACGAGGAACTGTATTAAAGGGTTGCAGCGTCAGGGTGGATGAGAAACCACCGTGCTAGGGTTTCTCCAGTTTTTTCCAGTCATGAGTAGTCTCTCCTGGGAGTTCAAGGCCAGCCTGGTCTACAGAGCAAGCTCTAGGACAGGCTCCAAAGCTACATAGGGAAACCCTGTCTCAAAAAAACAAAAGTAATCACACTCATTTTGGAGAATGGGGAAGCAAGCCACCAGAGCTCTGTACTGAGGACCAAGCTCAGCACTTTCACATCCCACCAGCAGTGATCGTCCTGTGGGAAGTGGGAAGGAGAGGTTGCAGCATCCAGCACCCTCTCGGGTGTCAGTTCTCACCAGAGGTGCAGGCCTGCTGTCCCCTGTGCACTTACCACTTATACCATCTAAACTCAGCATGTCTAAAGCCAGACCACCTCATCCAACCGTCCCCAGACTGACATGTGCCTAGTCCTAGTTTTCAAGGTTTCAGAGTAGCTCATTCTCAACTCAAAACTCCCTCTCAAGGTGGCTTCTAGTTCTGAGCCCTCTGAGATAGAAGAGGGCAGAGTGCTGTCTGTCCTGCCACACCTGGCCACTTGGCTGACCCTGTAGATGAGACCCTGGCTCCCCTCCTTCCTGTCTCACTGCTCATAGCCTTTCTGTTGTTCTGTGCTTTTCAGCTGTCCTGGCATCTCATGTGATTTCTGATGCCGCTCCTTCATTGTCACTCTGACTCTTCTCATTCGCAGCATCATAGAGACATTGTTTAGGCTGCCATCTTCCACCTTGGAACAAGTACTGCTTAATATTGCCACACCGTGGCATATCACTGCAGTTTCTGCTTCTTACAGTTGGCTGAAATGAACAGAATATTTGTTTGTTTTTTTTTTGAGACATTTGTAAAACTATTCTCATGGTCACAGTCTCTCTTTGTTTGTTTGTTTGTTTGTTTGTTTGTTTGTTTGTTTTTGTTTTTCAAGACAGGGTTTCTCAGTAGCTTTGGAGCCTGACCTGGAACTAGCTCTTGTAGACCAGGCTGGCCTCGAACTCACAGAGATCCGTCTGTCTCTGCCTCCCGAGTGCTGGGATTAAAGGTGTGCGCCACCACCGCCTGGCTCATGGTCACAGTCTTGATGAAGCAGCCTTGGCAACTAATGTGCTGCTTCAGCTTCTGTCTGATGGGGAAGAGGCCCTGTGAAGGACTCCTAATTCTTCCCAATTCTGCCCAGGTAGAGTCTAGCTAAAGGAGCTGCTTGCAGAGTGTCAGAAGCAAGGAGTTTCTGCAAGGCCTGCCAGAGAATGTAGGGTGCTGGGTGTAAACATCTATTCACCGGGGCTCACCAGCTGTTAGGCCCATTCCCATGACAACGGAGACAGCCCTGACTTAGAACCCAATCCTGTAACAGAAGACATACTCAAAGAAGCAACTCCATTATGTGTGCAGGATCCCTACCACCAAGTCCCCTGTGCTCTTACCAAGAAAAGTATAATTCAGTTAGGTGGGCAAGAGACCCTGGGTGACAGCTATTCAAAAACCAACGCTGATGTACTTAAAATGGTTCTGGCTTTGCTGTGTTAATCCCCCATTTACCTAACTGACCAGACTTACAGTCTCCTGTCTGTTTAAACTGTTCAAAGTGTAAACTGGGCCTGGGAACCAAAAGAGATTTAAGGGTGACAGTGTATGGAGGTACAAACCTAAGATGTATATGTTAGTAACATCTTCTCTTCTGTTGGCTCCTCTTAGAACATTAGCCACAGCTTTCCTCATGCTTCTTCATTCTCTTGAGTGAAGAGCTTTCTCCTTACTTCCCCAGATGTGTGGAGTGATTCCTGTAACATGTGGATAGGTCTCATGTGTTCCAAGAGAGAATGTGTCACAGACGGTGACACTCCCATAAGAGGTCACCCAGTACTCAACTCACTGTCTCCTGGAAGCAGCAGCTACCTTGGAGACCGCCAAGGCCAATGCTCTGAGGTCTTTGCACTTTTTAAAGCTAGTGCTGAGCCTGTCATAGTGGTGCATGATGATAATCTCAGCATTCAGAAGGCTAATGAATGATGTAAGTTTGAGGCCAGCCTTGGCCCATAGCAAAATCCTATATCAGAAAGAAACAGACAGGGCCAGGCATGGTGACACATGCCTTTAATCCCAGAATTTGGGGGAGAGGCAAGTCGATCTTTGTTAAGTTCAAAGTGGCCTGGTCTATATAGTGAGTTCCAGGCAAGCTAGGCTACAATGAGACCCTGTCTCAAACCAAAAGAAACGAGTAGAGATCCTTTTATGTCTTAAAAAGCTAATGGACTTCAAACAGAAGCATAGAGGTTGTAGAGTGCGGTTTCCCTAACAAGTGGTCTTGTGTTTCAGCTCCACTGGCAGTCACTTTTCTATGTTGGGCATCGGGGACATTGTGATGCCTGGACTCCTGTTATGCTTTGTCCTTCGCTATGACAACTACAAGAAACAAGCCAGTGGCGACTCCTGTGGTGCCCCTGGTCCGGCTAATATCTCTGGGCGCATGCAGAAGGTCTCCTACTTCCACTGCACCCTCATCGGGTACTTTGTAGGTAAGAAAGGCCAGTAGGAAAGCAGCCAGTCCCTTCCTCCCTTCCCCAGCACCTTCACGCCTTCAGCTGCTGCCCAGAAGAGCGGTGACTCTGCCGCTTATAACCAAGGGGAGGGACCCTGAAGGTGTGTGCTCCACGTGCCCAGTGCCCATGTCTGAGACACATGTAGGAAGAGCATGGCCATTGCTCAGTCCAGCACACGCCAGGTGCCAAGGGTCTAGCCGCCAGATAAACTGTCCTGTTTCTTTGTTGTTTACCTCCATTGGTTCCAGTGCCTGCATCGCCTCTTGACTCCTCCATCTTAGTGCTTCTCTAGCCAACACACAAACCACAGACAGAAAGAAACAGTTGTTACTAGACTAGAAATAGAAACAATACACAAGCTCCTCTCTCTCCTTCTCCTGATGCTGCAGGGTAAGTATAAGAAAGCATCTGCCTTTACTGACCTGGCATACACCTGAGGTCCTGTCAGTCTGTAAACCCTGAGGAGTCAGGGTAGTCTTACCGCATCTAGCAGGTAAGGAGGCCGAGAGGGGAATGCTCAGGCAAGTTGTCAAGTATCTTAAGTCTGTCGTCACCTCAAGAGTCTGGGCTTAATGTGAGAACCGTCCGCATAGTGCGCTGTGAGCCAGTCATGGGAATTGCCGTGACAGTTCTACCTGTTAACTGTGTCACAGCCAGGTGGCAAAGGGTCTCTCTTGTCTTCTGGCCACTCAGAGCCACTCAACAATGTCTTCTCTCCTAGGACTGCTCACTGCAACTGTGGCATCTCGAATCCACCGAGCTGCCCAACCTGCCCTCCTCTACTTGGTGCCATTTACCTTATTGCCACTCCTCACCATGGCCTACTTAAAGGTGAGAGAGCTGCAGCCACGTGCACTCTTGGTTTTAGTAGGTTTTGTTTAGAGCTGTTGACAGGAAGGGCTAGTGACTAAGTCACTACATTGTCACAGGTCACTGATTAATTAACTGAAGTCACAAGAGTCATCCTGTTGGGACTTTATTAGCTTTGTTTGGGATAAATTATTTAATATTGAGGCTAGAAAGATGGATCAGTGGTTCAGAGTCCTTGCTGTTCTTGGAGAGGGCCCAGCTTCAGTTCCCAGCACTTGCATGGCAGCTCACAACCATCTTAGGACTCCATGGCACCAGACACACACATGCTGTACATACACATGTATATTAACCTAAATTAATATTTACTATTAACACAGTATATGATTTCAGTCCCCCAAATCCCTAATTTGGAGTAATTTTTTTTTCTTTTTTTAAAGATTTTTGTTGTTTTTGAGACAGGGTCTCACAATGTAGCCCTGCTTGGTCTGGAACTGGCTATGTAGTCCAGGCTGGCCTACTTACAAGGATACACTTGCCTCTGCTTCCTATGTATACTGGACATACCACCATGCACAACCCTAAAGATTTTGTGTATACCTGTGTCAGCCCTAAGAGTGATTTCTTATTTACCAGGTTTTTAGTCTCTCGTTTTACAGATAAGAAACAGACAGATGTTCATGAACGTGCCAGAGAGGTAGACCTTCCCTCAGGAAAGGCTCACAGTGAGTGCACCAAGTCCCTAGAGGCCTAGGCACCTGCACTGAGTAAGGCTGACGCTCTGTGACTACCACAGAGCATTCCAACATGAGAAAGGAGTTTGACCCTGAACTCATCAATGTCCTTTGTGTCCCCAGGGTGACTTAAGAAGGATGTGGTCTGAGCCATTCCACTCCAAGTCCAGCAGCTCCCGGTTCCTGGAAGTATGATGGATCACGTGGGGAGTGACCAGGATGTTATCATCGCCCTATCTCTCACCTCTAAAAGCTGGCCTGGTACTCAGAGGAGCTGCAGCGTGACTGGGATTTGCTTCTGAAGGGAGTGCCGGAGGGTGCTGGAGCCTGCAAGCCCTTCGCTTCCTGCACGCTAGGAGAGTGGACCTTCCAGAAGTGACTGCTCTCCCCAGCACTCCCTCCCTGGGTTTTTATGGATCTGCACCAGACTGTTTCCTTGCAGGGAGCAGCGGAGCTGACTTATTTAACAACTCCAGACAGCAAGGACTTGTTCTAGAACGTTGAACACTAAAAGGATGGGAAAAAATAGCAAACAGAAGTTTCTTCAGTGAACCCTCCAAAACTTTGGGACCAGTTTCCTATGGGGGACTCCATTTCAGAGACCTGGGACAGAAGTTCTGTCCTTCTATTTTTTTTTCTTTTGGATTTATTAAATATTTTCTGTGGTGTGAAGTGACTTATTAAATCCACAGACATTGAATGACTTCTTACAACATACACATAAGAATTTGTTGTAATGACTGTGTCCAACCGTGTTGGCAGTAAGCAAGGACACGGTTTTATACATACATACATATATATATATACATATATATATACGCGCACATAGATATCTATGAGTAAACAGCGACTAACCCTGCTAAGATCATGCCGTGTAGCAGACAGGGCTTGCTGTGGTTTAAGCATGTAGAGCAGTCACTGTGGCTTCCTTGCATAAGCTGCCTCTCCCTCAGGAGTCACTCGTGGGCTCTGGGGACCCCTACTTCTTTTGATCAGTGTAGCAAATTAGGGATAAAAAGTTTCAACTTTTTGGCCCTTTTCTTTTTACAGGCTTCTCACAGTTTTTAGTAATCGCCTCTTGAACCAGTGCATGTATTATAGCAGCCAGGTGTCTTTGTGCTTTCCGATCATAGTAATGTACTACCTGTAAATACAGTTTTCTATTTTATATTTTTTTGTATTTTTTTTTGACATTTCGTTTCATTGGTGCGCTGTATTTTCCATGCCCTCACTCCTTTAAGAAAAAAAAAAGGAAAAAAATCAACACAATCCTGTCCTTGCTGGTGTGGTTACAGTCTTGGTTCACCTGTGGTGACATCTGGGGACAGATGTCAGTTGCCTCTCTGAAAATGGGACTGAAGTCCACAAGCTGGGGCCGGAGGAAGCTGCATCATGACTTCAGATCCTGGCCCCATGCTGTCTGTGGCCTCTACAGGGCCGGGCACCCAGTGACTAGCATAGTGTCTGCTCACCTTTATTACAGCGTCTCTCAGGCTGGTAAACTGCCTGGGGTCACCGCCAGCATGGCCTGCCTGTGCAGTAAGTTGGTGCTGTCGACCCCAAGACTGCTGTCTTCTGGCAGAAATCACAGTTGTGGCCTATCTTGTCAACAGAGCAGGATGCCATCGTGGTGTTGGGTTCCTCTGTCATCTTCAAATTCTGCTGAAGGGTTTGAGGGTTTGGGGTTTTGTCTAATAAATGACTCCTTTTCTAGCTCTTGTCCTGACTCGCTTTGCTGGTTGATGCTGAGCTCCTGTAACTTGCACTGTGCCAGTTACTGGCTCTGGCTCCTTTGTGGCAGTGTCACAGTGTGGAAGCTCCATTGTCTGCAGAAGCTCAGGCTACATGTGGCATTGGTGACCCCTGAATCAGGCCCCTGCACTCAGTGCTGGTGGGGAGGGAACTCCATAGTAAGTGCCTGTAAGGGCCAAGAATGCCCAGCAGTTGGTCATTTCAGTCCCAGACTAAGGAATGGGACTCTAACTTGCCATGGTATGAGTTTGTGAGGAAAATCTTGCATGCCACTTTGACTTCAGCACACATTCACAAGCCTGTCTTCAGAGCTTGGAAGCACGTCCCAGAAGCCTTGGCAGATACCAGAATGTCTTCCTGTTCTGGAAGGCTATCAGAGGGAAATGGGGCCTGGGGAGATGCTGTCCCCTCCCTGTGCCTGCTACACTCTTGTCCTGCTCCTCCTGGGTTCGATGTGTTCTCAATTGTCTGTTAGGCAGGGTCTTCATCAGTCTCAGATTTGGTTCCCAAACCTGCATGCTGCGTTCGCACCCACTCACGGGTGAGCTGGTAAATATTTCACCCAAAGTGCGGCGTGCTCCGTTCAGACTGCCATGGTATAGGCTATCTTCCAGTAAGGTGCGCCACATAGCTCCCTGTGTGGGACAGCTGGTGCTGTGGGGACAATCTTCCAGCAGGCCAGCATAGCCTTCGCTGCCTGGGTTGTCTACTGTACCCACAAGAATAAAGGGTGGTGGGAAAGGGATTTGGTCTTGTCACTAGTGTTGAAAGTAGAACCTGGGGTTTGTGGAGCACTCCGTATGGGCCACCCAGTCAGCCCTTGTGGAGATACTGCAGTTTAGGAAGCACATGTTTTCAGAGCTGGGGAATAAAATGAGTTTTTATTCTTTTTATCTCTAGGTCTTAAGGGTGCACCATGTGCTTGTCTGATGTCCATGGAGGCCAGAAAACGGTCCCGGCTCCTCTGAAACCGCAGTTACAGGTAGTTGTGAACTGTCTTGTGAACGCTAGATACCAGTGAGTCCTCTGCAGGCGCCCCCTTCTCTAAAGAGTGGATGTGGGTGTTTTCCCCTGCGTGTATGTGTGCTCCCCAGGAACTGCAATCAGAAGTGTTTGCAAGCTGCTATGGGTACTGAGAACCAAACCCAGGTCCTTTGCAGGACCAAGTGCTCTTAGCCACTGAACCATCTGTCCACCTCTTAAAGATGCTGAGACAGAAGCCAGCAGTATGCACGCTTACTCTCCAGGGCTCGCCCCTCAAACCTCACCACTGCCCATTTCTTTGGCACCCGTGACAGTGAGATAGATACCTTTGGAATGGTGGCCCCAATGTCTTTGAACAGGAGATGAAAGCAGTCAGCTGAAACTTGGAGCTGATGCCTACAGTCCAGCTGCTCTCGGGAAGTGCGAACTCAAACTTGCCTGGGTTTGCATTCAGCCTCCTGAAGATTCCCTCCACTTCTCCCTGAGAACCCAAGGTCCTTTCTGTTCTTGTAAGACGGTCAGTCATATGTCATTACTGGCACAGGTACTGGGTATTTACACAAACCAAGTTTAATGTCCTAGTCCCTTTCCCTTTGCAGTCAGGATGGGAGAGGTAGCTCGTGAACACTTGATGTGGCAGCCAACCCTGGACACAAGGACACAGTCACACAGCATCTCCACGTTGAGCTCAGTAGAAGATCCCATGGCTCGCTACCTACTCTGCCTCCCTATGGATAGCACAGCATCCCAAGTCCCATGTGGCAGAGCTAGACATGCTGGCCAAGAGAGGACTGAAGAGCAGGCTGGTGCAGAAGCCAGGGCTCCTGTTAGATGTAACATAAATGGCCACAGAAAGAAAGCACGGCACAGTAACCTTTAAGCACAGCGGGGCTCAGAAGTCTGTCTTAGGGGCGTTCCCCGGCCAGGAGGGCGTGACAGTCCTATGTGTGGCACTTAATGCTAGTTAAACCGGTGTGCTGTTGCCTTGGGTATTTGAGTCATACTGGGTGTGGCGGCCTATATAGGAACATTACAAGATCAGAAGAATTACAAACCCTAGCATGGACACTTGGAATGGTAGTCCATGTCCTCTGGTTTTTCTAACCCCAGCTGTACTGGAACTCACTCTGTAGACCAGGCTAGCCTCTACTTCCCGTGGTTTGGTTCTGCCTAGTTGGCCACTTCCCTGTTCAGTAGATCGTGTGAAGCTTGGTGCTGGTACTCCAGCTTCAAAGGCACTGAGGGTCTCAATCCATGAGCCTCGACTGCTCCAAGTCCCACCCCTGCCAGAGATGAAAAGGGGGCAGGAGGGAAGCTGTTGGGCAGGGGTGGAAACAGGCTAAGACACAGGCAGGGGAATCAGCCAAGCAGTGGGCAGGGAGACTACACCTCGTAAGGAATGAAAGAAGTGGGTGTCCACAGGACAAAGAGCAGGATGGCCGCCTGCCAGCATTCCAGGCCGTGAGTGCCAGTTCCTCTGCCTCACCCTGGCACCACGCCCATGTATGAGACACAGAGTACAGCCCAGGACCACACAGCTAGGAGTTTTCTCAGAACCAGGTCTGCTGCCTGAGACCCTAAGGCCAGAGGACGGGAGGAATAGGCTATCAGCCCAGTGAAATTTTAGTGAGTCTGGTGGATGACAGCCACCAGGCATCAGAAACAACTCCCATTGTCGTTTGAAGCAGGTGCTATCGGTGTCAGAGGACAGGCCACAGCACCAGACTGGACCAGAAAAACCCTCTGCCCACCAGTACAGAGAGGGCTTTAAGCATTCGCACATTGGGCCCCTCACAACCCCAGCTCCAGGGGACGCCACGCTTCTGCCCTAGTACCTGTGAACACACACGCAAAGTTTACAGAAGAAATCTCTAAACACAAACTGATTTTCCTAATCATGAGATCACAGCTTCACACAAACCAAGAATCCCTAGAAAGGAGGCAGCAGGATGCGTGCATTCAGCCAGCCAGAGTCCCAGCAGATTTGATGTCAGCAGCAGAACGCCTGTGGCCAGTGTGAAGACAGCAGCTGCCACTGAGACTGCAGTCCTGCCAGACAGAACCTTAGACACATGAAACAGGATGTCCCAAGTGGTACTAAAAAGGGTACCAAGTCTGACGGGCAGGAGGAGCCCCTGTCCACACACCCTCCTGGAAGTGACAACTGTGAAGTCCCAACCAAATAAACCACCCAAGAGGCAGTGAGGAGTGACGGAGCAGGGGGAGATGTCCTAGCGAGGGCCTCCACGAGCCGCCATCAGCTGGAAAGGTGGCTGTGGTGAAGAGTGCTTGCTGCCCTTACATAGGACAACAGCCATGAGTGTTCCTGTCCTCCCCTTGCTGAGGTAGGGTCTCTGGCTTTGGCTGCACACTTTAGCCTGGCTGGCCCCAGAGCCTCGGGCAATTCTGTCTCTATAGGAATGCTGGGGTCATGGTGTGCACAGCCATATCTGCCTGTTCTGTGAGATGCAGGGATTGAACTTGGGTCACCAAATTTGAACAGCTGGTGTTTTGACCAACTGAGCCATCGCCCAGGCCTACGCGCCCAGATTTAAAGGAAACTCCTCAGTAGAATTTCTGTGGTGTGCGAATCCTCAGGACACAGTTCTAGTTATTCACATTTGAACAGAAAATGAGACCCGTACTTCAAGGCAGTTTGTACCAATTGAAGTGGCCCAGGTGTTGCTAGAACCATAAAGGTTTCTAGATAATTATTTTTATTTTTATTACTTATAAATATGTATGCATGTGTTCCTGTTTTATGTATGTATGCCACACTGCGTGTGGAGCTCAGAATAGGGAGCTGCCTTATTTCAGGGACAGATATCCTTGTGTTGCCCAGGCTGCCACAACTGATCCTCCTGTCTCTGCCTCCTGAGTAGCCAGGTCGGCAGGCATAGGCCCTCATACCTAGCAGCATTCAAGACTTTTAGACATGATCTCACTTTGTAGCCATGACTGGCCTTGAACTCACAAAGATCCACCTGCCTCTGCCTCCTAAGTATTGGGATTAAAGGTGTGTGCCTCCATGCATGGCAACATTCAAGACTTAAAGCAGCTATTATAACTACATTCCAAGATCCACAGGAAAATATACTCATAATAAATGAACAAATAGAAACTGAGAAGATGGGTCAACAGTTAAGAGCACGGGTTGCTCTTACAGAGGACCCACCTTTGAGTCCCAACACCCACACGGCAGCTTCAGCTGTCCAGCCCTGGGGATCTGCTGCCCTCTTCTGGTCTCTGTAGTCACTGCATGCACATCATGCCCTGGCGTGCAGGTAAAACACAGAGTAAATAAATTCAAACTGAGCATCGTGGTCCATGCTTTTAATCCCAGCACTTGGGAGGCAGAGGCAGGTGGAAAAGACCCAAGAATTTCTCAAAACCCACCAGAGCTAGGAAAGGTGTAGCATCCTCCTTTAGACCTCATGAAGACACCTGGCTGCCTGGTCTGTCTATCACGGAGCGGCAGGCAGCCAACTCCCAGGTGTTCTGGGGGTGCCGCTCAGCTGAGTTCCTACTGTGGCCTGTTTGAACTGCCAGCCTCCATCTGGACCCACCCTGAACTCTGCACAAGCCTCAGTCCAGAAGCCCTGCAACTTTGCTTGAAGTCTCTCAGGCAGTTTCTGCTGCTATTTCATCACCACTGCAGTGACTAGGGAAAGGGGCAAGAAGCCTGCAAAGTCCCATGTGGATCAAAGGAAACTCACCTCATACTTAGGAAAGTGAGGTAAGGGATCACTGCAGGTTCAAGGTCAGCCTGGACTGCAGAGTGAGACCCTACTCAAAAAATTTATAGATACACATGTGTATATATATGATGCTATATAGCTGGGTGGTGGTGGTCACGCCTTTAATCTCAGCACTTGGGAGGCAGAAGCAGGTGGATCTCTGAGTTTGAGGCCAGCCTAGACTACACAGAGAAACCCTGTCTTGAGGGAAAAAAAAAGATACTTTATATGGCATGTATA